GGTATTGTCTCAGGTAGGGTGATCCAGACCCCCCCCCTCCTTGCACCAGGGTATTGTCTCAGGTAGGGTGATCCAGACCCCCCCCCCCTCCTTGCACCAGGGTATTGTCTCAGGTAGGGTGATCCAGACCCCCCCCCCCCCTCCTTGCACCAGGGTATTGTCTCAGGTAGGGTGATCCAGACCCCCCCCCCCCTTCCCCCTCCTTGCACCAGGGTATTGTCTCAGGTAGGGTGATCCAGACTCCCCCCCCCCCCACTCCTTGCACCAGGGTATTGTCTCAGGTAGGGTGATCCAGACCCCCCCCCCCACTCCTTGCACCAGGGTATTGTCTCAGGTAGGGTGATCCAGACCCCCCCCCCCCCCTCCTTGCACCAGGGTATTGTCTCAGGTAGGGTGATCCAGACCCCCCCCCCACTCCTTGCACCAGGGTATTGTCTCAGGTAGGGTGATCCAGACCCCCCCCCACTCCTTGCACCAGGGTATTGTCTCAGGTAGGGTGATCCAGACCCCCCCCCCCACTCCTTGCACCAGGGTATTGTCTCAGGTAGGGTGATCCAGACCCCCCCCCCCCCCTCCTTGCACCAGGGTATTGTCTCAGGTAGGGTGATCCAGACCCCCCCCCCCTCCTTGCACCAGGGTATTGTCTCAGGTAGGGTGATCCAGACCCCCCCCTCCCACTCCTTGCACCAGGGTATTGTCTGAGGTAGGGTGATCCAGACTCCCCCCCCCACTCCTTGCACCAGGGTATTGTCTCAGGTAGGGTGATCCAGACCCCCCCCCCCTCCTTGCACCAGGGTATTGTCTCAGGTAGGGTGATCCAGACTCCCCCCCCCCTTCCTTGCACCAGGGTATTGTCTCAGGTAGGGTGATCCAGACCCCCCCCCCCTCCTTGCACCAGGGTATTGTCTCAGGTAGGGTGATCCAGACTCCCCCCCCCCCTCCTTGCACCAGGGTATTGTCTCAGGTAGGGTGATCCAGACCCCCCCCCCTCCTTGCACCAGGGTATTGTCTCAGGTAGGGTGATCCAGACCCCCCCCCCCCTCCTTGCACCAGGGTATTGTCTCAGGTAGGGTGATCCAGACTCCCCCCCCCCACTCCTTGCACCAGGGTATTGTCTCAGGTAGGGTGATCCAGACTCCCCCCCACTCCTTGCACCAGGGTATTGTCTGAGGTAGGGTGATCCAGACCCCCCCCCCACTCCTTGCACCAGGGTATTGTCTCAGGTAGGGTGATCCAGACTCCCCCCCACTCCTTGCACCAGGGTATTGTCTCAGGTAGGGTGATCCAGACCCCCCCCCCCCACTCCTTGCACCAGGGTATTGTCTCAGGTAGGGTGATCCAGACCCCCCCCCCTCCTTGCACCAGGGTATTGTCTCAGTAGGGTGATCCAGACCCCCCCCCCTCCTTGCACCAGGGTATTGTCTCAGGTAGGGTGATCCAGACCCCCCCCCCCCTCCTTGCACCAGGGTATTGTCTCAGGTAGGGTGATCCAGACCCCCCCCCCACTCCTTGCACCAGGGTATTGTCTCAGGTAGGGTGATCCAGACTCCCCCCCCCCTCCTTGCACCAGGGTATTGTCTCAGGTAGGGTGATCCAGACCCCCCCCCACTCCTTGCACCAGGGTATTGTCTCAGGTAGGGTGATCCAGACTCCCCCCCCTCCCCCTCCTTGCACCAGGGTATTGTCTCAGGTAGGGTGATCCAGACTCCCCCCCCCCCTCCTTGCACCAGGGTATTGTCTGAGGTAGGGTGATCCAGACTCCCCCCCCTCCCCCTCCTTGCACCAGGGTATTGTCTCAGGTAGGGTGATCCAGACCCCCCCCCCCCCTCCTTGCACCAGGGTATTGTCTCAGGTAGGGTGATCCAGACTCCCCCCCCCCTTCCTTGCACCAGGGTATTGTCTCTGGTAGGGTGATCCAGACCCCCCCCCCCTCCTTGCACCAGGGTATTGTCTCAGGTAGGGTGATCCAGACTCCCCCCCCCTCCTTGCACCAGGGTATTGTCTCAGGTAGGGTGATCCAGACCCCCCCCCTCCTTGCACCAGGGTATTGTCTCAGGTAGGGTGATCCAGACCCCCCCCCCACTCCTTGCACCAGGGTATTGTCTCAGGTAGGGTGATCCAGACTCCCCCCCCCCCCACTCCTTGCACCAGGGTATTGTCTCAGGTAGGGTGATCCAGACTCCCCCCCACTCCTTGCACCAGGGTATTGTCTGAGGTAGGGTGATCCAGACCCCCCCCCCACTCCTTGCACCAGGGTATTGTCTCAGGTAGGGTGATCCAGACTCCCCCCCACTCCTTGCACCAGGGTATTGTCTGAGGTAGGGTGATCCAGACCCCCCCCCCCCACTCCTTGCACCAGGGTATTGTCTCAGGTAGGGTGATCCAGACCCCCCCCCCCTCCTTGCACCAGGGTATTGTCTCCAGTAGGGTGATCCAGACCCCCCCCCCTCTTTGCACCAGGGTATTGTCTCAGGTAGGGTGATCCAGACCCCCCCTCCCCTCCTTGCACCAGGGTATTGTCTCAGGTAGGGTGATCCAGACCCCCCCCACTCCTTGCACCAGGGTATTGTCTCAGGTAGGGTGATCCAGACTCCCCCCCCCTCCTTGCACCAGGGTATTGTCTCAGGTAGGGTGATCCAGACCCCCCCCCCACTCCTTGCACCAGGGTATTGTATCAGGTAGGGTGATCCAGATCCCCCCCCACTCCTTGCACCAGGGTATTGTCTCAGGTAGGGTGATCCAGACCCCCCCCCCCTCCTTGCACCAGGGTATTGTCTCAGGTAGGGTGATCCAGACCCCCCCCCCTCCTTGCACCAGGGTATTGTCTCAGGTAGGGTGATCCAGACCCCCCCCCACTCCTTGCACCAGGGTATTGTCTCAGGTAGGGTGATCCAGACCCCCCCCCTCCTTGCACCAGGGTATTGTCTCAGGTAGGGTGATCCAGACCCCCCCCCCCCCACTCCTTGCACCAGGGTATTGTCTCAGGTAGGCTTTCTTGGCTCGCACGGCCTTGTGTAACCCCGTGTAGTTCTCCCAGGTATACTTAGAGAGGGTACACCTGGAGAGGGTACACCCAGAGAGGGTATTCCTGGAGAGGGTACACCCAGAGAGGGTATTCCTGTAGAGGGTACACCCAGAGGGGTACACCCAGAGGGGTACACCCAGATGGGGTACACCCAGAGAGGGTACACCCAGAGAGGGTATTCCTGTAGAGGGTACACCCAGATGGGTACACCCAGAGAGGGTACACCCAGAGAGGGTATTCCTGTAGAGTGTACACCTGGAGAGTGTACACCTGGAGAGTGTACACCTGGAGAGGGTACACCTGGAGAGGGTACACCTGGAGAGGGTACACCTGGAGAGGGTACACCTGGAGAGGGTACACCCGGAGAGGGTACACCCGGAGAGGGTACACCCAGAGGGGGTACACCCAGAGGGGGTACACCCAGAGGGGGTACACCCAGAGGGGGTACACCCAGAGGGGGTACACCCAGAGGGGGTACACCCAGAGGGGGTACACCCAGAGGGGGTACACCCAGAGGGGGTACACCCAGAGAGGGTACACCCAGAGAGGGTACACCCAGAGAGGGTACACCCAGAGAGGGTATTCCTGTAGAGGGTACACCTGGAGAGGGTACACCTGGAGAGGGTACACCCAGAGGGGGTACACCCAGAGGGGGTACACCCAGAGTGGGTACACCCAGAGGGGGTACACCCAGAGGGGGTACACCCAGAGAGGGTACACCCAGAGAGGGTACACCCAGAGAGGGTATTCCTGTAGAGGGTACACCTGGAGAGGGTACACCTGGAGAGGGAACACCTGGAGAGGGTACACCCAGAGGGGGTACACCCAGAGGGGGTACACCCAGAGGGGGTACACCCAGAGGGGGTACACCCAGAGAGGGTACACCCGGAGAGGGTACACCCGGAGAGGGTACACCCAGAGAAGGTATTCCTGTAGAGGATACACCCAGAGAGGGTACACCCAGAGAGGTTACACCCAGAGAGGGTACACCCAGAGAGGGTACACCCGGAGAGGGTACACCCAGAGAGGGTATTCCTGGAGAGGGTACACCTGGAGAGGGTACACCTGGAGAGGGTACACCTGGAGAGGGTACACCTGGAGAGGGTACACCCAGAGGGGGTACACCCAGAGAGGGTACACCCGGAGAGGGTACACCCAGAGAGGGTACACCCGGAGAGGGTACACCTGGAGAGGGTACACCCAGAGAAGGTATTCCTGTTGAGGATACACCCAGAGAGGGTATACCTGCCGGGAGTTAGCTGCGGGGAGCCACCAAGGGACTCGTTACATTAAAGGGTGGAGTTTTTCATCATCTAAGTATTGTAGATTTAATATAATAAACCTAACCTTTACAGAACACCTTGATTTTACCTAACCTTAATATAATGTCTTTGGTAATACCTTTTGAGGCACTTTGCTGCCTATTCTTCCTGGCCACATTAAGAGTCATCGATGCCAAACATGAAGTCTGCAAATGTCTGTCATTGTATATAGATGGATTCTTGGGATAAGTCTCGGTAAGAGCCTAACATCACTGATCATTGTACCAATTACAGGACAACACACTTTCAGTTTAGCATAAAGAAACACAAGGCTTCCTGCTTAAGATTGATCTTTTGCTTTGGCCCTTTGTATCCACAATGTTGGCATTAGTGGGCCAACTGGAGTAGTTTCCTTACTGGATCATGAAAGTAACTTGTAAATGTCGTCAATACAGCTCCAGTTCAACATCTGGGTTGAGAGAGAAGGGGTCTGAAGTTTAGAGCGTAACCCCCCTCTTACTCTGTGTAAATGTGTTTGTTTTGCATGGCCTTGTATCAGACAGCATCTCTGGGGCAAAATGACTCGTATAGTATAGAGTACTCTATACTGTACCAAATATTACTGAGTATATAATATCAAATGTCAAAAATTTCTTAGGAGATTAACTACTGAAGAACATTCATTTGAATTATTTTTTTTCTATAACTTGCAGATTCTGAACGTCTGAGTGTTGAGAGTGCTGAGGATGCCCTTGTGGTAATAGGGAGCCCAGAACATCATTGCAACTCACCTGTATTGAGCACAGAGGACCAGCCCATTGGAGATTCCCCTCATTCATCCCCACAATCCTCTCCTCCATCATCTCCATCGGCAGTTTTATCTTTACTATCTCCTTTTGCCTCACTTGCTGCACCCCTAACATCTACTTCATCTGTAGTGTTAACTCCACAAGTGATGCAGCCATCTTACACACCTGCCACTGACATCCCCTTATCTCCTACGAGCTCGCTTCTGACCTCGTCGTCTCCACCCGCGTGTCCTCCGTCTGTACAAGTCCCGGCGGCAATCTTCAACGACCATGCTCTTATGCAGTTCTCTGAAGTAACTCAGGTGTGGGATTTAAGATATTGATTTTGTTCGGTGGTGTTTGCACCAAAATCTTGCCATTCGATCAACTTTGTCTTTTGATGCCAATCAACACACTCTTGATTTCTAGGTCATAGATAAATGTTTTCTTGCTTGCCAGCACCAGGTCTAATATGTTACCCCTAGTGGGCTTACAGTATCTACAAACTGTCAGAAAGTAGTCATCAACCATCAATGCCAACATTTTTGCTACTGGATTTTCTATTCCTGAGATCGAGTCAATTATTCCATAGTTGAAATCCCTAACAATGCACACATTACTGTTTCTAGAAGCACTTACCATTTCTACCCAGATGAGTGTACCTTCATAGATACCTACAAATTTTACACATTGCTAATTTCTTTTATTCAAAATGATATAATTACCATATTATTTCTTTACAGGCATCTATACCTCCGAACGTTGAGCTACTTCCTCCCCCACAAATGCAGTATGCCGAGTCCTTTGGGGTTATCCCTGAACCCTTCACTCGGTCTCCACAGGAACAGGTACATAAAATATCAGCAAGTATTTTACATAAGTGGGTACAAGAGAAGATGTCTAATGACTCTTGCTTACCTACCTATCAATAACTACAGAAAGTTAGATCGGGCTTTTTAAGCTCCTCTCCCTCCTATCCATTTATACCTGATATGCAAATTACCTCTCGACAATTTCTTCATTTTTTAAGTTGTGGATGGAATTGGTTTCAACAACCTCTTCCTTCAATGCATTCCGATTTACCATGTCGTAGCTCAGTCGATTAAGGCAGCGTGTGGGATGCACTTGGACGCAGGTTCGAATCCTCATCACGGCCCTTGTGGATTTGTTCATTCCGATTGTTCTAATCATCCCTTACAGAGAACAAGAGCTTCCATTGATGTTCTCTTGTCTTACTTATTTATAATTTAAATAGGCCTCCTTTATCCACTTTGTCTATTCCCTCAAGATCTTGTATATAGTTGTCATATTTCCTCTGTTTCTTCTCTCCTGTAAGGTTGTGAGGGGGGGAGTTCTTTTAACTTGTCCTCATAGCTGATGCCTCTTAGTTCTGGTACTACTCTATTTGCGAACCTCTCAACTTTCTCAAGTTTCTATTGATTCTTCACAAGGTGCGAGGTCCATGCTGGAGCTGCACACTCAAGTAATGGTCTCACATGGGCGAAGTGTATGCCTCTTTTAATCTATATTTATAAATGCAGATGATGAGGCACAATAACGTGGCTGAAGATATGATGACTAAACCACACATCAGAAGACGGAGAAACAATGTTTCGGTCCGTCCTGGACTGTTATCAAGCCGTATGTGCTTGATAATGGTCGATTACCACATACAGCTTGATAATGGTCCAGGACGGACCGAAATGTCGTAGTTTCTCCATTTTCTGATGTGTGGTTTAATCATCATCATGTATGAATCTAAGCAAGGAGGCTTTTATGCCTCCTTGTGTAGATTCTTAAATGACATTCTTACGTTTGCTAATTTCTCGTGTGCTGCTGATGTTATCCTATTCTGTTCACATGAGCTTCTGGTGTTAATGTTGGGATCATGTCTACTCCCAGGTCCTATAGTTTCCTTTAATTTAGTTCATTTAAATGTTTCCCCTTCCCGTGGAGGGGAAAAACTGTGCAGACGGCTACGCGGCGACGTGTAACGTCATACTCATTTGCTCGTTTCTGTTTAGGGACTTCTATCCACTTGTTCGGCTTTTTTGTAGCAATTTTCACCAGAATCGGGGTTTGTTTTGGAACGCTTACCTTTCTGGGTGCCTAACCCAGTCGATGGCAGACATTGAATGCTTTCAACGACACGGGGCTCATGGTCCCCGGTAGGCCCACAGAACTTCATACACACGACTGATGCCAAAGTCTGACATTAGCATATCAACCTGGATAGTTCCGGGGAGCCTCCGGGTCTCGCCCAGAAAATGGCGTTTCATTACATTCAACGCTGGTTTTTTCCAAGAATTTTGCATGGAATGCATCTTAATGACACTGGTTCATAGTTCAGTGCTTCATGTCTGTCCCCTTTTCCTTTTTCCAGATTTCCCTTAGCTGTCCCATCTCTAACGTAATGTTGAACACTATAATTAATGGCTAACGCACGACCCCAGCAGCTTCTGTCAGTAACTATGGTGATATCTGGTCGGGTCCTTCTGCTTTTGTTCCATCCACTTCCTCCAGGTGACTTTTGACCTCCTCTACATTAATGTTAATTGTGCCTAGTGTTGTTCTGATTGTTGTCACCCCTACTTGAACAACAATCTCCTTCTAGTTTGTCGACTTCATGGAACCTGCTGTTAAGTTCTTCACACATTTATTTGTCATTCTCCATGAGTGTTCCTCTCTATCCCCATTTTCTGATCACATGGTCTCGTACCATTGTTTTACTCCATATGTGGCTGTGCAACAGCTTGAGTTGGCTCTTTGCTTTTGCCTCTGTGCCATTCTCAAACTCCTGTTCTGCTGCCCTTCTGACATTTGTGTACTCGTTCGTGGCCATATTTAGTGCCTCCCTATTGCCTTATCCATATCCTCTATACTTTGCCATGCCTTTTTGTCTTTTACTTTTCCTCTTTACAGTGTGGAACCATGGGTGTACTGTTCGCCTTTCACCCACTTTCCTCCCGAGAAGAATGAACTGTTCCGTTACTGATTTGCATTTCTAACGTTATGCGTTCCATCATCTCATTTGTTGACTTCCCTTCCGTTTCAGTTTTCCATTGAACCTCCTGCAGATATTCTCTAACCTTCCAGTAGTCCCCCTCTTCTGTATTCTCTTTTGCTCTTTGTCCTCTTTCCAATTCTGTCAGTTCTAGAGTGCAATGAAACACAATAATGCAGTGGTCACTGGTTACTAGTGTTACCTTATATTTTAAGTTCTCTACATCGTGTTAGAAGTGTTAGAGCTTTCCCTTCATATAGCTTATGGTAAGGTATACCCTACTAGTTTTCCTGGAACACAACCCACCAATCGATTTACAGCTAATCCGTCTGAGCTCGTCTTTTTCTTTGTTAAAATATAAAAAAAATAAGGTGTGTGTGATAATACCCACATAAAATGGAGGAAATAAGGACTTTTTAGTTTTTCTTTCACAGATGTGGCCATTCATTTATAGTGCTAACCATTATTTTCTTCTGTCGGTCATGGAGAGAGTTAGAGACCTGTTGTACATATAGTGCAGTGGGTTATTGAGTGTTCAAAGTTCATTTTGACCTGACCACCTCTACTTGCAATGTCACCAGTTTGCAATATGACTGGACAATTCAGAGGTTATCCAAGGAGCAGTGTGTTTAGAGCAGCAAAGCTCTAGAGCACAGCTCAATCATCTCACCTGTTTTGAGGTGTGTTGTAGGTGACCCACCTGCAACAGAGATGTTCAAATTAACACTTTCACGCATCCGAGCAGACCGTCGTTGTCACCAATATTATTAATTAACTGGATCAGATATTGGTGGTGTCTGCTGTGAACCCTTCTCCTTCAGCTGTTATTCATCAGGAAACCATATTTGTACAGTGGAACCTCGAATAGCGACTTTAATCCATTCCGGTGCCGTGGTCGTCACGTGAAACTGACGTCATTCAAAACGAAGTTCCCGATTGAAGAGAATGTAAATAGAAATAATTCGTTCTACCACCGAAAAACATCAATATGATATTCGATGTTTTAAATAATGGAGCAGCCTACTTTGCATACACTGAACAAACCTTTATGACATTTCTCTTTCTTCAGATTTGTTCATTTTATTTTTCATTTTTTGTATAGCAAAAGGTTTGTTCGATGTTTGTCAGGTAGGCTGCTCCATGTTTCTTATAAAAAGATGAAGAATTTTGAAAAACAGAACAAATGTCAAAAAGGTTCATTCGGTGTTCGGCAGGTAGGCTGCTCCATGTTTCTTAACCCTTGCACTGCTCACCTATTTTCGGCAAAAACGTCTTGGTGCAATTGACAAGGACATATTTTTGTTACTTTTACAAATGTTCAGGTAAATTTAATGTCAAAATGTTTCCAAAGTCAAATATTTCCATTTCAAAACACAAATAGTAATGAAAACATTAAAAAACATTAAAATATAGCCAAATTAAAAAACAAAAAGCACAACTCTCTGAGCGCCTAAAGGCGCTTTGCGCAGTGCAGTGGTTAAATAAAAGAAACAAAAAATAAAAAAGTTGAAACAATTTGAAAAACGGACAAACGCCATAAAGGTTCATTCAGTGTTTGTCGAGTAGGCTGCTCCATTATGACAATCTTTGTGTGTTTCAAATGTGTTTCATTTGTTTTGTATTTTTAATTTATTTCTCAATAATGGAGCAGCCTACCCAACAAACACTGAACGAATCTTTATGGCATTTGTCCATTTTTCAAATTGTTTCAACCTTTTTTTTTTTTTTAAAGAAACATGGAGCAGCCTACCTGCCGAAAACCGAATGAACTTTTTTGACATTTGTTCTTTCTTTAAAAAAATTAATTTCATTTCTCTATAAAAAACTCAATGCTTTGCAACATCCCCGCATCAATAGCATCTTTAAATAAAGAAAAATAATTTATTTGCATCGTCGGAGGCGTCCGAGAATGTGCGAGAAGCAGCCCCCGACCCCACCAAGTGGTGTTGACGTTATTCAAACAAGTGGACGCCTAACAAGATGAATTGTCGGCAATCGGGGCGTTCGTTACCCAAAATGGTCGCAATTTGAGGCAGTCGTCACTCGAGGTTCTACTGTACTGTACTGGCATCTACATCCAGGAATTCTGATGCGAGCCGAGACTCTAGCTCCCAGTCTGTGGCACAGTAGAGGTTGTAAGAGGTTGTTCTGGAAACTGGAAAATATTGGAGGGGTGACAGGTAAGCTTCTAACATGGATGAAAAATTTCCTAACTGATAGAAAAATGAGGGCAGTAATCAGAGGCAATGTATCGGATTGGAGGAATGTCACAAGTGGAGTACCACAGGTTTCAGTTCTTGCACCAGTAATGTTCATTGTCTACATAAATGGTCTACCATATGGAAAACAGAATTATATGAACATGTTTGCTGATGATGCTAAGATAATAGAGAAGATAAGAAACATAGATGATTGTCATGCCCTTCAAGAAGACCTGGACAAAATAAGTATGTGGAGCACTACTTGGCAAATGGAATTTAATGTAAAATTGCCATGTTATGGAATGTGGAATAGGAGAATATAGACCCCACACAACCTAAATTATGTGAGAAATCTTTAAAAAAAATCCGATAAAGAAAGAGATCTAGGAGTGGTTCTAGATAGAAAACTATCACCTGAGCACCACATAAAGAATATTGTGTGTGGAGCCTATGCACGCTTTCTAAATTCAGAATTGCTTTTAAATACATGGATGGCAAAATACTAAAGTAATTGTTCACGACTTTTATTAGGCCAAAGCTAGGATATGCAGTGGTTGTGTGATACCCATATCTTAAGAAGCACATCAACAAACTGTAAAACGTGCAAAGACATGCTACTAAGTGGCTCCCAGAGCTGAAGGGCAAGAGCTACGAGGAGAGGTTAGAGGCATTAAATATGCCAAAACCAGAAGACAAGAAAAAGAGGCGATATGATCACTACATACAAAATAGTAACAGGAATTGATAAAATTGATAGGGAAGATTTCCTGAGACCTGGAACTTCAAGAACAAGAGGTCATAGATTTCAACTAACGAAACAAAGATGCCGAAGAAACATAAGAAAATTCACTTTCGCAAATAGAGTGGTAGACGGTTGGAACAAGTTAGGTGAGGTGGTGGTGGAGGCCAAAACCGTCAGTAGTTTCAAAGTGTTATATGACAGAGTGCTGGGAAGACGGGACACCACGAGCGTGTAGCCCTCATCCTGTAACTACACTTAGGTAATCAATAAATTCACATAGGATAGAAATGCTAGTGTTAGCAAGGGGCTTGTATAATGTCAGTATAAAGAATGTGCCCCTTGTTCAGCAGAGGTTCCTTGAGTGTCTTCACCATACTGTCTGAACAATCATGAGGATAATGACTGGGTATGTCTACGTCGGTGCAGGAATATAATTTCATATCTATCACCATTCCAGTTCCACAATCACAGAGCACAAATTATTTAAGTCCAAACATGTGCAATTTCGATGGGATGTAGTGCTTGAAAGCAAGACATCACCTTGAAAAGCACAAGCATTTCATTGATCTCTACTTTGTCTTTTGATGCCAATCAACAAACCATGGGTGAAAATATTCATTTTCATTTATATTTTCACTAATATATGGGAATATGTCATTAACAGCTACATCTGTATCATCAAATGTAGGTATTTCTGGTAGAAAAGTCTCACAATCTTCCTACACGAGTACAACTCTGATATGGTAATGATAAAAAACTGTTGGCTGGGAGATGACACACTCCTACATGGTATGGGGGCAACCATGACCAGTTGAAGTTGAGGCGACTTTTACTCATTTTCCCCAGGGCTACTCACATGCCATCATTTTGCAAGGCGACCTCCCAATGCTGCAAACCTCTGTCTATTAACACAATGACAGCTGCTACCACTCAGTTCATATATGCTACCGGTATCCAGACCAATGTCACTGAACCCAGAAAAAGTCGTCTTGCACATATTCATGGTGTAAAGGAACAGGAGATGGAACAGCTGGCGATATGGGTCACTCTGGGAGTGGTGTTGACTTAGGACACGGCAGCGGTGTAATCCTCACACTGGGGACACCGTGTCCACTTCATCTGTATTACTCGTATCCGATCGTTGTTAGATAATTATCAGGTCTTAAGTTGTCCATATCACTATCCAGGTTCTGTTAGGACCTTGATAAAGACAAGATAAGATAAACCAAACATCCTGATAAGCAGGCATTTTTACCCAGAAAGTCCAAAAATTAACATTACAAATTTTTGGGTACCACAGCCAACATAATTAGTATTTCCACTCGCACACTATTACAGTATTGAACTTACAGTATTGAAAGAATTTAGTGACAACTTAAATTTTAGCTTACTCTGTTGGAGTTTGTCTGCATGACTGAAGAAGATCTTGAGAATGTCCATTTACATAATGTAACCTGGCACGACACTCAAATTACTGTACGTGCATTTGGCAAGGTCAATTTTGACTGCCCGCTGCTGAAGCATTACTGGTTGATGGCTCTTGGCTTTCTGGTGAGGCTTCACTGGTTGAAGGTCCTAGGCCTGCTTGGTAGGCTTTGTGTGTTGAGTCCTTAACTTGCTTGCGAGGCTTCGCTGGTTGATTGTCCTTGACTTGCTTGTGAGGCTTTGCTGGTTGTCCTTAACTGGCTTGCGAGGCTTCGCTGGTTGTCCTTGACTGGCTTGCGAGGCTTCGCTGGTTGTCCTTGACTGGCTTGCGAGGCTTCACTGGTTGTCCTTAACTGGCTTGCGAGGCTTCGCTGGTTGTCCTTGACTGGCTTGCGAGGCTTCGCTGGTTGTCCTTGACTGGCTTGTGAGGCTTCGCTGGTTGTCCTTGACTGGCTTGCGAGGCTTCGCTGGTTGAAGAGCCTTGGCATGCTGTCCTTACCAAATAAGAATCAAGTTTGACTTGCCTGCTGTGTTCATTGGCCTATCTTAGGTTGAACCTTACCACCGACTTTCTTGGGGCCCATGGCTTGGTATATAATAATCACTTTTATGTTCAGAAACGAAAAAACTGAAAACAATTAAATTCTTTATGTTCAATATTCAATATATTCGAGTGTGATCATCATTAGGTGGGAGGTACTGGTAAACTGAAGCATGCCTCACCCTTGCCACCAGGAACCACGCGCTCAGTCAACCCATACGTGTATCGACAAATTCGCCAAGCGAGGCAAAGTTCGTAAGCCGAGTCAAATTTTTCAAAGAAATTGAACTCGTAAATCGAAAAATAGGTAAAGTGGAGTTTTCGTAAACTGAGGTTGGGCTGTACTCTTACTTCATTCTACATATTTTTATATCAATTTTATTCATTTTCATACGTCACCGCGCCGCTGTCTGCGCAGCTCCCCCCTCCCCGGGAGGGGGAAGGGGGAGCCCCAGACCTCCCACGCCGGCTATCCACCCATCAGTTCTTCGGCTGATGCTATAGGCAATGGTTATGTGCTCCGGCTCCAGTGGTTGTTTCAGCACTGTACCTAGAGTGTGGTGTCTGTTTTCTAGGTGGTGCGTGAGCCGGGTGTGATTCTTCAGTACTCGGGCTGCATGCGCCTAGGGTTCCCTTCCCTAGGTGCCCTGTAAGTACTGCCCTTGGGGCTTGGGGCCACCTTCCACAAGTTCCTTGGGTCCTGCCCCTGCTTGGCCGTTTACCGCTTGGTTTTCGGCCGCTCTTTGTGTGCTCGGGTGTTCTGTCTCCCTTGTTCGCCTTAGAGTAAGGGGCAGTGTTTGCACTGGTGGGGCGCGGGGTACTGTGCAGCTTGTCTTTACCAATCATAGCGGCCGGCTCTGTTCCGCTTGGGTACGCTGTCCTCTTGCGGGGTTTTCTTTTTCTTTTGTTTATATACCTGGTGGGGGGGTCTGCCTTCGTTCTTGCCCCTTGTGTCCCTTGTGTTCTGAGTATTTCTGGTGGTACCCCCTGCTAGGTCCCCGTGAGTGTACACGTCCCGGGGGTTCAGCTCTTAGAAAGTTGTTTGGTAGCTTGGGTGCCGGTTAGCAGTACCCTGCCTGGGATTACCTGAGCGCGAGTCCTCTTAAAGTAAACGCTCGGGACCCTGGGAAACCCCTGGGGGCGCGCGGGTCCGATGGATGTGACCCCAGAGCCCCCCCCTCGCTTCCAGCGAGTTTGAGGGTTGCTCTCACCTTTTGTCTCTGGGTGACTCTCTGTTTTGCCTCCGTCTGCTGCCTGTGGGGTCGGTGACACCTTCGACCCGGTGTCCTGCGAGTTTGGTTGCTCGTTGTGGCTCGGTTACCCAGTTGTGCTAACAAAGCGGGTGCGGGCAGCAGGGGCGTTGCGCTTGAGCCTTGGTGGTGGCAACGTTCTCGTGGTTTCCTCCCCGGGAGCCCCGGGGCTGCCCCGTTGTATTTCGTTTTTCCCCTGGTTCACCCTTCCTGCCTGCATCCGGTTCCTTACCGTCTGTAGGTTCAGGGCGGGGTGTTTGGTGGTGTTGAGACTCGGGCAGTCTCGGGGAATTCCCCTTCCGGGGTAGTGACGGGGGCATTTGGGCCTGTTCCTCCAGCCGTGTTGTATGAGTCTGCCAGTGGGCTCCCTTCCTTAGTGTTTTCACGGCTGCCCCGGTTTTCTGGTACGGCCGGGGCTTTGGGGGAACGGCTCGGCCCCGGGGCCTGTCGTGTAGGTTCCCGGGGCTGGGGAGGGGCTGACTTGGGGGGCCTTGGCCCCGTTAGGCCCCGTGGGGGGTTTTATCCCCCTCTAGGCGGGGCTTGTGGTTACGCGGAGTGGGGTTTTTCCTCCCCACTCGCCGTACGTGCTGTTGGACGTCGGCCCCTCCCCGGGCTCGGTTCCTTGGCCTTTGAGTCGGTTGGTTCCGTCCTGTGGGTGGATGTTTCCTCCCCCGCTTTTTGGGACGGTGTTTTTGTCATGTTATCCCCGTTCGATGGGGTTCTGCGTGACTTTTGATCTCGGGTGCGCCTGCGCCTTCGTGTGCCTTCGGGACTAGTGTTGGCTTCTGTGTTCTCGAGGGTACGGGAAGGTTTTTCGCTACTTCCCGCATTATTGGAACGTCTGTCGGCTCCTAGTACTTGTCGCCCTGTTGGGCTACTTGTCGCCCTGTTGGGCTACTTGTCGCCCTGTTGGGCTACTTGTCGCCCTGTTGGGCTACTTGTCGCCCTGTTGGGCTACTTGTCGCCCTGTTGGGCTACTTGTCGCCCGGTTGGGCTACTTGTCGCCCGGTTGGGCTACTTGTCGGCCGTTTGGGCTACTTGTCGCCCGTTTGGGCTACTTGTCGCCCGTTTGGGTTCCCTTTTTGGGCTCTTTGCTTCTTTGGCCGGTTTTCTTGTTCCTGCTTCCTCTTTTGGCTCTTTTTCTCGTGCAATAGTCCTGGCTGGCGCCTTCCCGCAGGGAGGGTGTGCGGTTCGGCCAGCGTGTTATGCGCATGCGCCGTGGAGTTTGTTTTGGTCTGGGCGATGGTTCAGTGCTGGGGTTTTGCGCCCTTTTTTGCTACAGTGCTTCGCCTCTCGTTCTTCTCCCTGGCTGCGGTATGTGCCCCTTTGCGCCAGGGGTGTCCTGGTTCCCAGTTGTGGGGAGGACACCGCGGTTTTCTGTGTCATGGGTGTGGACCGCCTCCTTCGCCTCTCCCTGTTCTCCTGCGGGTCCGGCTCTGGCGTCTTCACCTGGCGGTGCTCCCAAGTTCTTCTGGGCACGGTTGAGTCGTGTCAAGTTCGAGCCACCATTCGCCAGGTGAGTTTCTGCGGTCTGGCGTCTTTTGGCCGGGCGCTGGATGCGGCGGTGTTCATATACCTGTCTTTATTTAGGTATAATTTTGTACGACTGAGACCGTTCGCACACCAGTGACTGTCCCTTTATCACCCCTTCCTGTCCCCCTCCTGTGCATGTCCAACCCATGCTACAGTCGTTCAGGGGACCCTCCTTTTTTAATGTTGTGAGGTGTGGGGGTTGTAGGGTTGGTTCTGTACTCACTTGGTGAGGCTCCTGGCTGTGCTTGCAGGATTTGAGCTCTGGCTCTTGGGTCCCGCCTATCTGGTAGAACTTGCGGGATAGTACCAGTGGAGTGCAGTGGTGCTATTGGCACTTTTGGGGAACACTGTATTACCATCAGTGGTCTGTGCTTGTTACACGACCTACTTGCGAGCATAAGCCTTCTTGCTGGTTCGTCCGTGGACTTCCAGGGCGCACTGGCCTGTTTTCGTATGGCAGTTCCGGCCCGTCCTGGTTGTGGGGGTATGTGGGCCGGTGGACTGCTCCTAGCAGCTGCCTGGTGGGCCATCCTCTGGCCGGTCTGGCCTGACCTTGGGCCGGGCTTGAGGTGTAAAAGAGCTCCCAGTACCTCATCCAGCAGGTATCGAGCGGGGTTTCTCCGCCGTCGGTCGCCTGGTGCAGGTTTCTGGGCCTGCAGGGTTTTGTCGTGTCTCCGTTGGCCCTGTCTGGGGTCTGCCTGCTCCGTTCTCTGCCTTTGCAGAGGGGAGTTGCTATTTACATGTTGCATGTTGCAGTGGTGCCTGTTGCTGCTGCTGCTGCACGTGAGCATTGGTACCGTGTTTCACGGTGGCGTGTCCTTGTTCCTGTGTCCGGTTGTGGAGTGGCGCTTTGCTGCCGTTTTGTGCCTGGGGATTGCGTGGGGTTTTTGTCCCTGCCTGATTGTCCACCCCTGGTTGTTCTCCTGGTTTTTTTTTTTTTTTTTTTGTGCTTCTGCTCTTTCTTCCTGCCTCTTCTGCAGCAGGAATGTTCTGCGTGTGTTCTTAGGCGTTGGTCAGCCTGTGTCCTGTGATGTGCTTCTTTGTTTCGGTCTGTTGCAGTTGTTCGGGCCCCTTGGTTCGGGTCCTGTTCTGGCGGCGACCCTTCCGCCTTCTTTGGTTTTCCTAGCTTGCCCTGCCGGTTGTTGTTGTTGTTTTATTTTTTTTGGGGGGGTTCTTGCGATGTCTCGCGTCGGACCCGTCGTTTCTGAACTCCTGGCGGGCTTGCATGCTTCGGAGTTTTTCTGTTCGGCAGACGTTCCATCTCCTTGTGCCGCCTGGGTTTCGGTGGTCGCGCCCGAGATCTTCTCGCGGCTCCGCCTTTTTCCTGGGCTCGGGGGGGCCTTGTCGGGGCTGCTTATGTTCTGCCTCGTGGTCTCGCCTCCGGTTGGTGGTCGGGTGGCTTCGTGGTAGGTGTCCCACCTGCGTGCTTCTTGGCGGCAGTATGGGGTATTTTGGCGGTCCTTCCTTTTCCTGTCCCTTCTTCGGTGGGTCCTTCTTGTTGGCTTGGTTTACTCTCGGCTTGGTTTTCTAGTGGGGGTTGGGGGCCGTCGTCTTGCCACATACTGTCGCCTCTTTTCGTGCGGCGCAGGCGGAGCCGCTTCAGCTTGCTTTCGGTCTTGGTGTTGCTTCTGCACCGTTAGTCAGCTGTCTTGTGCGTCATTTCACCTCCGGCCTGTTCGTGCGCCGCTTGCACCATCCTGGTCTCTGGTCAGCGTGCTCTGTCTTCTCCTCGGTTGGTAGTGCCCCTTCGGTTCCGGTGTGTTTTTTCGTCGGCTCTTTCCTTTGGGCCTTTGCCTCTGGGGGTCGGTTCGCTGTGTTTTCTTGCTCCTTCGGTTTTAGCGTTTTGGTTGTTTGATGGCAGCAGTCTCCATCTTTTCTGGCGCTGTTCTTCCCGGTTCGCGGGTGATGGTGTCCCGGGTGGTCAGCCGTGTTCTTGTGGCTAAGCTGCCTGTGTTCTTCCCTTATGCCTGTGGCGTTCGTGGCTTCGCTGCTCTCGCTGCCGTCTGGGCGACGTGGCCTTGCAGTCTTTCGGGCATGGATTTTTGGTGTTCGTGCAGGGGCCTTGCTGCTCGTGGTTCTCGTGTTGTTCCCGGGATTTTCGGGGCTGTGGCGCCTTGGGTTGGCGTTTGCTGCCGGTTGTCTCGCCTCCTTGGGGGGTGCGTGGTGTCCGCCTCCCGGTTTTGTCCCTTTGACCTTCCTCTGTGGGTAGTTAGCTCCGGGGAGCCGACGGGGCTCCCCCCAGAAAACCAGCGTTGAATGTAATGAAACGCCATTTTCTGGGTGAGACCCGGAGGCTCCCCGGCAACCCTCCCTCCCTCCGGTCGGCGTTTTTCGCGTGTTTTGACATCCAGCCTCAGAACTGATGGGTGGATAGCCGGCGTGGGAGGTCTGGGGCTCCCCCTTCCCCCTCCCGGGGAGGGGGGAGCTGCGCAGACAGCGGCGCGGTGACGTATGACGTCATACTAGTTTCCGTGTTTTCTGTTGAAGAGTTCTATTCACTAGTTCGGCTTAGGTAGCAATTTTCACCAGAATAGGGGTTTGTTTTGGAATGCTTACCTTTCTGGATGCTTGACCCGGTCGATGGCAGACATAGAATGCTTCCAACCACACGGGGGTTTCTATAGGCCATTGCTCCCCTTGCCTCTCTGAGGGGGCCAGGTTCTGGCTCGTGGTCCCCGGTAGGCCCTAGAACTCCATACACATGACTGATGCCAAAGTCTGACATTAGCATATCAGCCGGTAAAGCTCCGGGGAGCCTCCGGGTCTCACCCAGAAAATGGCGTTTCATTACATTCAACGCTGGTTTTTTGAGTAATTATTACAAAAATTACATTTTTATTTTCCTATTTCTAAATGTATAGGTATAAAGGTAATCATTACGTATTCAATAATTGTCGTCAATAATCATTTTGCCTTCTTTCAGTCAATGGTAACTCGAGATGGCGTTGAACTAGTTTCATCCAGCAGCCCCAGAGAACGAAACAACGAGTCTGGTCGTCGACGGCGTCGGGTCCAAGAACCCCCAGTATGGGTGCCTGACCAGCAAGCCCCGAGGTGCATGGCGTGTGGGGCAGCTTTTACTATGGTACGCAGGCGCCACCACTGCAGAAATTGTGGCAAGGTATGTGCCTGGTAATGTACAGTGTAGATTCCTGCACCTTCTATAAATTTCATTAAAAAATTATGAAAACACCAAGAACTTATGGGAAGAATTACATTAAGAACTTTAAGAATAGTTCAGAGTTCTCGGGACTTTTAAAGTTGCTTTCCCTTACTGATGAAATACAAGAAAATATTCTGCAATTTACTCAGGCTTAAGAAAATAATAAAAGGTTAGTACTCTGCAAACTCAAGAAGTTTTTGCTTCTAAACTTAGGGAATTTGCCTACAGTGGTGAAAGTCCTGGTGGTGGTTATTTCAAAACCCAGCATTGAATGTAATGATATGCATATTTCTGGTAGAGCCCCAGTGGCTCCCTGTGGCTATCTTGCTGAGAGTGTTTTAATCTGCTAGTCACATGAGTTGTACGAGTTCATTTGGCCTACTGGGGACCAGTGCCAAAATCTGACCCCTCCACATGAGGCACAGGATGCCTCGTTCCCAGGAAATGACATTCCGCCATTTTCCCAGGAAAGCATCCAGAAAGTGAAGCTTTAGAGGCAACTGCTGGGTTCATAAGACTCAATGTCATGAGACTGCTAAACAACTCCCCAAACAATTCAAAATAAAATATAAAACCCAAAACTAGTTAGAAACTGTTAGTACCAATTGCCATCACCAGGCGACCCGGAACTCCGTTCAGCATCAGCAATCAGAACAGTTCAGGAGCAGATAAAACACAGCAGTGAACCAATGAACATGAAAGGGGGGGAGGGAGGGAGAGATAGAAAACCAGCTGGGCTCTACCAGAAAGAGGTGTTCTATTGCATTCAACGCTGGGTTTTGGGAGGAGTTCCCATGGTGGCGCTCTGTAGCAAATAACCACAGAGAAAAATAGAGGGGCTTACTAGAGAGGAGGAGTGGCAGCTGGCACTAAGGCAAAATAAAGACCAACGGCTGAGAACATGACCCAGGGCAACAAACATACTCGCTAGAAAGGAGATGAGAGAGATATCAAATAATATCCCAAATCTACACAGTAAAATAGCAACATACTGTAGTGAATAATATGGAAGAAAATACAGAATAAAACCAGTGAAGTACAGGGGTGCCATAGGCACCACCTGAGAACAATGTATAAACATCAGAGGTCCGCGGTTGTTCAACATCCTCCCAACAAGTATAAGAAATATTGCCGGAACAACCGTTGCCATCTTCAAGAGAAAGCTAGATAATTTTCTTCAAGGAGTGCCGGACCAATCGGACTGTGGTGGTTATGTGGGCCTGCGGGCCGCTCCACGCAACAGCCTGTTGGACCAAGCTCTCGCAAGTCAAGCCTGGCCTCGGGTAGTAGAAGAACTCCCAGAGCTCCATCAACCAGGTACCAAGCAGGTAACACAGGACCAAAGAAGACCTGGGACATTGACTAAATACCTGGGTGCCAAAACCCCGAGCCCAAATATCCACCTAAGACCTACTAGAAGTGTGTGAGAGCAGCATATTTGTGAATGTCATGGGCCTGGGGATACAGCAAGCTGGCTGTGTCATCAATGTCCTTAATGACACTGTGGACAACCTGAGAAATGTGCCTTGGAATAGGGCGACCAAGGAAACTGGATCAACCAAAAGAGCATCCACTGGATTTGAACTGGTGGCACGCAGCTAGCTACGAATTGCCACCACCAGACACACCAAATGATGCACCCCTGCCTGAATCAACCGAGCATCGTTAACCAAAGAACTCCTCTAGAAGCCAGCCAGCTCATTCTTTGCCAGAAAAGGAGGAGACAGTGCAAATGAAGAGCCATGAGCAGGCCAGAGGTGAAAACTACCAGAGACAACTTGTGGAATGGATCTGCAGAGGAATCTACATTAAAAGCCAACAACAGTGGCTCTGCCAGTGTTGTACAATAAGAGGCAACAGTATTAGGAATGAGGTGAGAAACAACTATGAAAGGAACGATAATACTACACAAATCGAAACTGAAGAGGGATGGCAGAGACAGAAAGAAGCAAAATGAGCACCAAGCTACTTAATACTGTTGCCTGGAAGACAAACACAAGTGGAAACCAATAACCCAGCCATCTGTGGGCCATAAAAATGTTGATATATTTGCATCTGGAAGTCTAAACATGAAAAGACATGGAGCTGCAAGATACGTCGCCAGTCCATTTATCTGGAAATGCGGAGCCACGGAAAAATGTCCGGGTTCGGACACCGGGCTAGGTGAGCCAGAAACCAAGAATGAACCTGCAACTAATGAACCGGAAATATTTTGGTTCATTGATGTTCAATGCGCATCAGTTCTACCTCCTTGTTTGTCTCTAACTCCAACTTCTTGGTTTCTTTCTTCTCAAGCTGTAGCTGGGTGGCGCGCTCCTCCCACTGCAGCTGGGCTTCGCTCTCCCACTCCTCTCATGGCAGCTGCAACCGCAACTTGTGCTTGCAGCTGCCACTCACACTCTTCCCACCTCAGCCATGCCTTCGTGCACACGCTCCACTCGCTGCAGCTGCCATTCGGGCTCTTCCCGCCTCAACTACACCTCACGCTCACACTCCTGTCGCTGATCCTCCAGCTGCAATTTCAACATATCCAGCTTCACACTTCTACTTCCGCTGGAGCCACTGCTGCTTCCTCCATCGCTTCGGGTCCTCCCAGCACTGACAGGTTCCTGAGACTGTTCGCCCACAGGAGCCTCTTCTCGCGCCCTGAGCTGAGCAGCAATCTCTAGATGTCCCTCTGCTAATCTCAATGTCAGCCTTATACCAAAATGGTCTGCCAATTGTCGAAGTGCAGTGCAGTGACGAAGTGTTCCTAGTGCAGCCCTCCAGCACACTTTCATCACGTGACTCAAAAACTCTGCTACTTTGCTATCCTCCATCTCCATTCTCTTAGGCTACCCAAGCAATTACTGCACACACTTAATTATACTGCTACCCTAGCAAGGATCCTGGCAAGGTCTCCACTTATGGCAACCCTGGCATACTGTCACCACACTCCAATCCTAGCAAGGTCTCCACTTAATGTTGTGGGTCTTAGCCCCCCTCCTGGTGGGTGTCACTGATCACCACAGGGTGGGGGCACCTTAGTCCACTACAGGTTGAGTTCCTTCCACAAACCCGGCCTGGCGCACCCATAGCAAGTAAAGTAACTCGTTCCTCCTTGGCCTCCTCCTGTAGGTGTGTCCATAAACACAAAAGCTCAGGCCCCTTCGATCGAGCTGCCCAACATAAATTAGTTCAACAGGTCGCCGACTGAGTCCACTTGTACACGCGGTCCAGTAACACTACCTCAATGGTGTTATAATATTCCCAGTATAGTACTTCCTGAAAGGGTATGGTGTGCAACAACTCACTCACTATAGCCATAGAGAAAATAGAAGAGATAACAATCACAGTAGTAAAAACATGAAGGTTTACTGGATAATATCTACATTGGCCAACTGGTGAAAACTTCCGCTGCTCCGGTAGAATGGCAACACTCGTGGAAATATACTCCTCTGGCAACTCCCTCCATTGTCACCACTGGAACATTATCTAACACAGTGAAGAGTTACAAACCTATTAATTAACACTTTTCTGAGAACTTCACTTGGATTTACGGGCGGTTTAGATAAGCGCTTGTCGGATCACGACGTAAATTTACGGTCCGTGTTATAGTGGGTATTTACTGCTCGATCGACTTGGGGTTTGTATGAATATGTTTGCCATTAAATTTTCGTTTTCTCCAATAGGCACAGTGCCTATTTGAGAAAACGGCAATGTATTGTAACTTAGAGGAGAGACTATTGAGTTGGTGACACAACGAGGGTAATCGCCCACTCCACACACTCTTGTGTTGGCCGCGATCATGATTCTACATTTATATGCATATGTCTGTGTAGAGAATTTTATTCCGAACACTATACAAACAAAAAAAAACGGTGTGAAACAAGTATAAACTTGAAAAACATGAGCAAAGTAAAAACTTTTTACGCTCACGGGTACAAACACACGTAAGATTCGCATAAGATTTTATTCGCCGCAAATTTATTTGACGCTCTGTTGGCCAATTCTACCCATGTTCTTATAGAACTTTTTATTGCGAACACATTGCTATAAAAATGAAATACGTAGCTCGAGAAATAATGTCAGGACAGTGAAATAAGTATAAACTTTCAAAGCGCTGCATCACAACAGTGTCGTCGCTGCTGAAATCACGGCTAACGCTTCGCCCAGTTCCCACACTCGTGCGGAACATAATTAGACATTGATAGGCATATGTCTGGGTGGGGAATTTCATTGCGAGTTCAGTGATATCAAAATAAGCGCTGTAGGATGACTGTGTGGCTGGCAACAAACGAAAGAGTATGAACATTTACTTCCTGTTTGGGTGCCACGGCGAGTCATCTTTGTGTTTATTTACTTCGTGGTGGGATAGCAAATGCTTGGGTGACATTTTATGCATATGATCTTGTAGAGAATTTTATTGCCAACGCATTGATACCAAAATGAAAAACGTAGCTCGAGAATTGATGTTAGGAGCGTGAAAAGATTATAAACTTTTTTGTTGTTACGCTTGAGCGCCCAGAACGCCGCGCGCACAAGGCGCTTTTTTTTTTTCACAAGTGCCGCGTGCACTAAAGTGTTAAGATTTCAACTTAGATTCAACAGAGCAGAGGAAGTTGTTAATTAAACACGTGGGACAAAATCTTACTGAAGTGACCATACGAGTCATAAATACTCATACTCTGCCCAAGTAAAACAGAAACAAGCAACACTTAGTGGGCCAGCCAGAGGCTTAAGGCCCACACAGGAATATCCCTGGAAAAAAAAAAATCCAAACTTTCCTTGGATATCACTCCAGCACTTATTTATCTTACCTGCACATATACATAAGTAAGCCTAGCAATTATTCATAAAAAGTGTCTGGATTATATCTCTCCAATCGCTGTTATTTCATACTGAAAACATATATATATCTATATCTGTACACACATCAATGAGCCTGAAAATCCCCTTACATTAAATCCAACATATTA